AAAGAAATAATGAATGCTTAAATTATAAATAATAAATTCTTGAGGTGATGGATAACCTCAGTTATCCCGATTTGATCTTCATACATTGTATGTCTGTATCAAAACATCACATGTATGTCATAAATATATACAATTTTTATGTACCAATAATTACAATTAAAAAATTTAATAGACAAATGTGATTACACAAAGCTTAAAAAAAAAAAAGCTTTTGCAAAGCAAAGGATGTTTCCAAGGTAAGAGACAACCTAAAGAATGGAACAAAATATTTACAAACTTTACATCCAACAAGGGATTGATAACAAGAATATGCAAATAACTCAGAAAATTGAATAACAATAACAGCACTAATATTAATAATCCAATTTAAAAATAAGCAAATACTCTGAATAAACATTTCTCAAAAGAAGACATACAAATTGCCCACAAGTATATGGAAAAAAAGCTCTACATCACTAAGCATCAGTAAAATGCAAATAAAAAATACAATGAGATATCATCTCATCCTAATTAGAAAGGCTACTATCAAAAAGACAAAAAATTACAAATGGTAGCAAGGATGAGTTGAGGGGAAACATTCATATACTGTTGATGAACCTGTAAATTAGTACAGTTATTGTGGAACAATAAGAAATTTTCTAAAAAACTAAAAAAGAACTACCATATGATCCAGCAATCTCACTGCTAAGTACATATGCAAAAGAAAGGAAATCCGCATACCAAAGAGATACCTTCACTCCCATGTTTATTGCAGCACTATTCCCAATAGCCAAGATATAGAATCAACCTGTGTCGATCAATAAATGACTAGATAAAGAAAATGTGGCACAACAGAAGAATTTTCAGCCAGAAAAAATGAAATCCTGTCATTTGCAGCAATATAAATGAAACTGTAGGTCATTATGTCAAGTAGAATAAGCCAAGTTCAGAAAGACATATGTATCATATGTTCTCATTCATATGTGGAAGTCAAAAAAGTGAATCTCTAAAAGTAGAGAACAGAATGGTGGTTACCAGAAGCTGGAAAGCAAAAAAGGGAGGGGAGATTCAAGAATAGCTGATGAATATGAAAATACAGTTAGATAGAAGGAATACATTCAAGTATTCAATAGTATAGTAAGGAAATTACCATTAATAATTTGTTTTTCTATGCATTCTCGCCATCATCTGTTATTGTTTGTTTTATTATTGATGGCCATTCTTACTGGGGTTAGGTGGTATCTCAATGTTGTACCCACATCTTTATAATAAAAATTTTTTAAAATAAGAATAAATAAATAATTTGTTTTATATTTCAAAATACATAAAAGGAAAGAATAGCAATGTTCCCAACACAAAGAAAAACATAAATTTTTGAGGTAATGAATATAGTAATTGCTTTGAATTGATCATTACACACTGTATATATGTATCAAAGTATCACATGTACCCCCACCCCCAGAAACTGTACAACCATGATATACCAATGGGAAATACAAAAAAGTAAAGGTTGCAAAGATTTCTGCCTGCAATCACTTCACAATCTTGACTCTGCCAAGCAGAGAAAAAGGACAGGAATGGGTGGGTTCTTGGGTCTTTTTGAGAGTCAGAGCATACAAAATTATTCTTTGTCTAATTAAGTATTGTAAATTAGATGAGGTTCACAGAATTCAATCTATGAATTTTTTTAAAAGTCCCAAGGTATCTCATTGTAAGAAGTGATAATAAAGTGAGAGTTTCCCAAGGAGAACCCTAGGGAATATCTTGATATCTTGTTTGCATCAGCTCTCATGACCTCAATCTTTTAGGAATTCCTAATAGAAAAATATTCAATTCAATGTTGGTACTTGAAATAATTGATTACCTCATCCAATAATACAGTCAGAGTTTGAAATGGAATCCACTGCAAAGCCCAGATTTTCTCAGTTGTCAGGAGAGATGGTTGAGAACTTCTGAGACCCAATACCTAACTCCGGATTTATAGCTTAGATCTCTGGATCTCTACAGTACTTAGTGTGAGTTTCCCTCACCTGGACCTCTTCATCTTTAGAACAAACTCATGCTAGGCCTCCAGGTAAAAAGGAGGAGGATGAAGTGACCAAGGAGGAAGATCATGAGGGAACAGAAATCTTCAGTCTGTCTTAGGAAAAATTCAAATCTTTATTGTTATAACCCACAGTCTATTTGAGAAAGGAGATTTTTCTTTTTCCCTTCTCTAGAGTTTTCAGTCTTGGAAATCTTGCTACTAGGCTCTTTGTGACTGGGTTAGTTTAGGTGCTGAGAGTCCCAAGAAATCTGAAATATCATTGTATCTCAACCTAGCTACTCTTTTTTTCAACTACCAGAATCTTCCTATCCTCTGATCGTTCAGTCTTCACCATTGATGTTCTCTTCCTCTTTTACTTTCCTCAAGATCTCATCTTGGTGGTACACATTGGACTCACAGGAAACTACCTAAAATGCAAGACAAAGCTTCCTGCTACTGACTGAGTAGTAAGAAGGATCCAGAGCTCGGTGAGTACTAATGTTGACTGTGTGTCTGCTGTAAGCACCAGTACAGTCGACTTCAGAGATATTAATACATTCTTTCTGGAGGTGAGGCTGAGAAAGAGAACAGGGTTGTAAATTGAGGGTCCATTCCTACCTCCACTAAAATTAGAACAACAATCAATGATGCCTACTCTTCTGCATGAGTAGTCTTGGTAATCACATCTTGTGTTTCTCCTTGTCACAAGGTGTTTCCATTCCACAGATTGACTTCCAAATTGTATAATATGCTTCAGATTGGATGAGCAGTGTCTAGGAATATTTGCATACTTGTATATGACAATGCCTGTGTGCAAAAAGAAGTTCATTCATTCCGGGATGTATTCAATTATTCTTGTATGAATTTAGTCAGCAAACATTTCTTGAAAATGTACTACATTCAGATATATTGAGTGAGATAGGATTGCTATTCTCAGGAAACTTAATGTCATATCAGGGAAATGGGCTTATAAACAATCATGTATAATTTAATAAGCACCTTTAGAAAGCATATTTTACATATACCAAACTCATCCAATTCTACACATGAAATATGCACATTTCATTACAAAAAATTTACTTACTGAAACAGTGAAAAAATGAACTTATCAAAAATTACTATTAAAATGAGTTCAGTAATGGGTTATTTTATTTATGTCCTTAAGAACATTTTACTTATAGCAGTATTCTTTTTAAAGACTTTGATAATAACCCTTTAAAAAGGAGCAGTTTATATTTTAACCCAGTACAGACTTTCACACATACACTCATACATGCACACACACAAATACAATTGAAATAAATATTTTCTTGTAATTATGCTTATATTATTGCATGACATAGTATTTTCTTCAACTTAAATAAATACTGATGATAATCCACTAATTCTATCTCATTACTCATGGATGTGTTATAAATCACAGTTTCAAAAACACTCATTTAAGTAAGACATCATGTTGGCTGTTATGTCATACAGACTTTATCATGGATCCTTTGTGTCATTTTTTTTACACTGATGCAAAAGGGAAAATTTTTCTCATTTGATTTTGCTAGTTCCTCAAAATGTTCCCTGGCTCTGTTTTCCTGGTTGCTCAAAGCCAATGAACCTTCCTGTAAGTTCAGGCTGGACCCACTTCAGATTCGACTGAATGGAAATTCTTGAACAGAAACCTCACTGTTACCAGTAGTCTTGAAATCAAGTCATATTTGACAGCTTGTGGTCAACGCTCTTGTGACTGAACCCAGCCACAAAGTTTCTGTTTGCATTTTTCTTATATTGCCAACTACACAGAAGATTTTATGTGTGAAAATAAACTTTTTCACGCTTGACTTAGACTTTTCTCTACATCAAGATTGTCCTGCTAGGAGGGCTGAATTTCTGCTCTGACACCTCCTTTATTCCAATGGGTAGTTCTAGGACTAGTAGTTTAATCCTTCTCAAAAACATGAGACTCCAGCTGTGAGTCCCAGTCATTTGTTCATGGCCCTACTATCTTCTCTAACTCCCTTTGACTTACTGACCCATTAACTTGGATTCAGCCATCTTATTTCTTATTTGTTATTGATGTACAGCAAAGTATAAACTTTGAATAGTTTTCTGCCTGAATTCAGAGCATTGTACCAGTACCTGATTTTCTATCGATTCACTCACCCAACTGATTGGATATTTTAAATCACACTGCAGCATGAATGAGATCAAACACTGTTATGTCAGATAAAACACTGCAACAGTGGACTGCTGATATGCATTTGGTCTCCACAAAGGGTCTTATCCACCGCAATATGTGATGCTACCTAAATCTAATGGCTTCTCTACTGCCTTGGACCCACGATGGTAGAGTCCCTTCATACCTTACTCTTGTACACTGCTATAATCACCAAGACTTGTTTCTCTGCCCAATAAATAATTTAGAAAAGGACCAGGACTACGGATTATAACACAACTAAAAATAACCTCTTAAAATTTCCTTTCCTGATTGGAAGGATATAGAAAATCCATTGGAAAAAAAATGAAAAAGTTGATTGTTGGCCTCTTCTATTTGATAAAATTAAAGCTAAAATATCTTATATGGTAAGTAAATTAGACAACAAAAGACAACATTAGATTTCTACTAGAGGGATAATTTATTTTATTTCAAATCCATATAATATACTTGCATCCTTTTTCTCTGACTCAGGCAATTAATATGTAATTTTCTATGAAGATATTTCTTGATATTATCTACAAAACTGTTGAACAATGGCTCTATGAATGATAACACTCTGCCAGCAAGGATCACCAAGAAGGAGTGTTCCTGATTTCGCTGTATCTATTAACTAAATGGCTTCAGTAGGAATATAGGGAAGGAAAAATAAAGTTTCTTAAGTATTTATTGAAAAATTATAAATCAAATATGTTTATTTTCTTAAAGATATCTTCACTTTCTGTGTTTGGTGCTTCATCATAGTCAACATTTGCTCTATTTATGCTAACATACAGACAGAAATAATCATCAATGGGAAAAGAAAACCAAACCTATTTGACTGAATTCATCTTTCTGGGCCTTTCTTCAGAACATAAGACCCAGATCCTGCTGTTTGTGATATTTCTTATCATATACCTGCTGACTGTGTTTGGAAATCTGCTCATCATACTCCTAATTCATGCTGACTCTCAACTTCACACACCAATGTACTTCTTCCTTGAAAATCTGTCATTTGTTGATTTCTGTTTTTCTACAACTATTGTTCCACAGATGCTATTTCACTTTCTGGTTATGAGAAAGACCATTTCTTTTACTAGGTGCTCAATTCAAATGTTTTTCTTTCTAATAGCAGGGTGTACAGAGAGTTCACTTCTAGCAGTGATGTCCTATGACCGCTATGTAGCTGTCTGCAAGCCCCTCTACTACTCTACCATCATGACCCACAGAGTTTGTATTCATCTGGTCGTAGAGTCCTGGGCCAGTGGAGCATGTGTGTCTTTAGTCGACACCACATTCACTTTGTGTCTCCCATATCAGGGACAGAAAATAATTAATCATTATTTTTGTGAGCCTCCTGCCCTCTTGAAGCTGGCTTCAGCAGATACCTTCAGAGCAGAAATGGTCATCTTTGCAATGGGTGTCATAATCCTTCTAGGTCCTATCTCTCTCATTCCTTTCTCCTACTGGAATATCATCTCCACTGTGATTCAAATACGATCAAGGGATGGGAGACTCAAAGTCTTCTCTACCTGTGGTTCCCATTTAACTGTTGTTTTCTTCTTCTATGGGTCAACAATATTTACCTACATGCAACCTAATTTGAAGCAAATGAATGAGGGAGATAAGGTTATTTCAGTGTTCTACTCAGTTATAACATCCATGATGAATCCTTTTATTTATAGTCTCAGAAACAAGGATGTGAAGGAGGCATTTAGGAAAATATTTGTAAATTAGAGCCTCTCAGAGGTAGTAATCTTTATATTGTATATAATCAAATGGATGAAAACATTCCAACATGATTTTTTTCCTGAAACATCTCTAATCTAAGACATCAGTGAAAATGTCATACAAGTACCCTTGCACTTCTGAGAATGTTTGTAGGTTTGTCTAATACAGTCTTAATCAAGTTTATCCTCTGGGGCTTCAGCTTTCTTGTCTCATACCAGTTTAATGCCTAGTATACTAAAGAATATTTTTAATCATCAACAAGGTTTTCGTTTATACTACCTTGTTGTTACACCAATCCATTTTTACCCAAGGATATTTTCTTCTGGCTCCAAACTCCATAGCTGTTTCTAGACTCATTTGATGCCAACATCATTCATAGCTATTCATAGATCTTAAAATCTAAGCCGATGTCAATAAGCTAGATTCCCCAGTTTCCAGTAAGAAAATGTCAATAACTTTTTCCCATTAAGGTCTGATACTGTGAAAATTTCCTTAATCTGTGGAGTTCCAAACTATTACTATAGTCAATTTCATCATACATGGGAAAACAGTTGGCCTAAACAACAAGGTGTGGGATTTCACATGTAAGCAAACATCTTTGATATCTCACACACTGCCTTCCTCGAAGGATAATTGCTGGTTTGAGGAAACTGAAACTGGGAAGCAACCTTCTTACATCAGTACTGTAATGTCAGAAACCCCTGTGATACCATTACTCTTCCACTGCTTCCCCTCAGACATGCTCTCCTCTCCTCTGCAGGTTTGATTTTGCTGGTATCCATCAAGTTCACCTCTGTGGGAAGTAGAATAGAATGGCTGACATATGAGAAGCAATCCCAGAAGGTGGCGTTTTCTCTGTGGGATGAGTTGGCCCCCTTAGTCTTTCCATCTATTGCAATAACCATCTGCTAAGGCACAAACACCATTGATGACACACCAGCAGTTTCTCAACGGTTCAGCATGTATACTGCCTCCCACTGTTGTCTTGTTGTTCACCCTCAACTAAAGTTCTAACTCTTCAAATGGAAGTATCAAATGGGATGGACCCAACACTTTGTTGGGTTTGTAGGAACACTACCAGTTGCCACCTCTGATTGCAGGGCTTGTGAGCCATGAAAACGTAACTGGGAACCATCCCAGTTCTGTCTATCTCCTCTCATGATTCTTCATTTCTCTTGGCAGAAGTCCATTGACACAAACATATTTCATTATTTTGTACTAACTTTACCAGATTTACATATATCCCCTGACTCATCCTGCCTGTTTATTGTGGAGCCCTCTGTAGAAATACTTGTAATATAAATAATAGTGTGTATATTGCAAGATATTATTATTACAATAATAGTGTTTATTATTACTGCTAACCTTAGCAAAACCCTCTTTTTATGAAATGGGAAGAGTATAGGAGTACTTTATTATTTTTCTGGAAGCAGTTTAAACCTTGAGTTCTTCTTACTTGACAACCTCCTTTTCATGCATACAAACTGAGCAGTTATGGGTGAAGAACAGCCTAATCCATAAAAATAAGTAACACCTGATGAGAGTAAAATTTTCCACATTGACTTCTGGCTGCTGCAAAGTAAAGGACCGTAGCATGTTCTTACTATCAGTGCTGTTCATTCTATGTGATGATGTCCTTGCTGAAAGGCATGCATTGTATGTGGAATGATTCTGCATAAGATAATAAATATGTGTAATTATCAATTTACTATGTGCATGTAATATAAGTATACTGTTTTCAGATTATGTGGACAAATATGATACTGTACAAGAAAACAAACCTTGGGTGAAAGTGGCGTCTTGCTTTCACCAGACCTGAACTATCTCTAAATGTTAGGTAGTGAAAAAAACTTTAAGGACTTTAACAATGCAATAATAAACTAAGGGCTAATAATATGCCTAAAATGTGTGAATTTATATCTATTATGATATTGGTAGTTCTAAAATGTTAAGCAGAATGTTAGGATTGGTAGATGGCTTGTAGCAATGTATATAGCCTGATATATCAAATATGACATATAAAAAAGTATTAAACTTAGAATTATTGCTTTATTGCAGTGTGTGAAAAAATAGCATATGTAAAAGCCTATTAAAATTATTTAACTTCAGTGCTTATCTATCAAAGATCTTTCCTGACTAGCCATTTAATTATCCAGACCTACTCCTCTGGTAAGTTGCCTACTGATATAAGCAATTTTATACCTTTTATCACTCAATATTCTGCCCTCTGCTCTATCAGAGGAAACCAGGACCCCTCAAAATTTCAGAAATAAGGAATATTAGGAAAGAAAAACCTCAATCTGTACGTCTGTTTTGAAAAAATAATGACCAGGCCAAGATTCTGGAGTCAACTTCATATTGTTCTCTCATGAAAGAAAAGTGGGTTGAGTGTTGGTGACAGATACGGGCAGCCTGACTTTAAAAACAATGCTTACTACCTGTTAGAAAAAGCTGAGACTGTGAAACAGCTTTGAGTGGAGTGTGATTCTACAAAAGTGTCTCAACATCGGGCATGCTGAGTTTCTATGCCCGTGACCTGTCCTTACCATTCAGTGCTGTTCATTCTATGTGATGATCTTGTCAAATTGAATTTGAAGCCATATATTGGAATTTGAAAAAATTGGGGCTTTCACTTTGTATGTCTTGTTTTTTACATTTTCAATTTAGTAGTCTAGAAATTAATGTATATGTCTTACAAAAGTATCAATTTTTGTCAAATAAAATTTTTTTTTTTGAGTTGGAGTCTCACTCTGTCACCCAGGCTGGAGTGCAGTGGCACACTCAAGGCAAAGCCTCGACCTGCTGGTCTCAGACAATCCTTCAATCTCAACCTTTCAAATACAGATGCACACCAACATGTCTGGCTAATTGTGTGTGTGTGTGTGTGATTTATTGTAGAGACAAGGTCTCACCAAGTTGCCCGGGCTGGTCTTGAACCCGTGGGCTCAAGCAATCCTCTCTCCTGGGCCTCCCAAAGTGCTGGGATTACAGGCTGAGTCATCGCGCCTGGCCTAAAAAATTTTTTAAATAAAAAACCGAAAGCCTGGCTGTACACTGCAGATCTGTTGAGAAACAGTGTTATAATAAATATCTGTAGCTACTCTTAGGCATGCTGCTGTCTCATTGTCATTCAAAAGCTAACCTAACTATTCCCTCTTTTCTTTCTATTTGAGTAATAGGGAAGTTATATAACAAAATTGGCATGATCAGTGAAAAAGTGCCCATGGATCACATTGAATTTATCAGAGTTATATAACTGACCATCAATAGGAAACTGGTGGAGTCAATAGGGTTAAAAATGCAAATGGTGACAGTAATGTTTAAATGAAAACATCAATTTCTGTTTAGAAGAGAGACCATCGATGATGGTGCAACAGTGGATAGATGAATGTATGGCACATAAAAAACTATCAAATTACTAGAGTCACCATGATTGGGAACTACCCATTGCCCATGTTTTCCAAAGCAAATAGTTTTTCTGATTTTAAAAGTAATATATTTTCTTTTACTTATGCCACAGGTTGTATGACCATTACTTTGGTATTTAATCAACTCATACAATATCAATTTCAAAAGCACAGATTGAGTTCATCTGTCAAATGAATATCTAATCTCTTTATTAACTATGTATTGAATACTCATCTAGGTGCTGAATACATTACAAAAAACTATGATTATAATTTCTATTTTTATAGAATGTATATTTTAGAAAAGAGTCATAAAAAGCAAATAAGCACAACACATAATATATCTCATGTTAATAAGTGCTAGAAAATAAAAACAATGGATGATGGGTTGCAATTTTAAGCCAGTGATCAGGAAAGTCCGTCTTATCGTTAATTTAGAGAAATTAACATTGGTTCTATGACTAGAACATCAAGAATAAAGAACCAGCCAAGGAGAGACTGGGGATAAAAGATTCAGTCAAGGAAAACAGGTAGTCTAATGACTTGAATATGGTGTTTGAGATCAGCACAGAGAAAGTAGGTGTGTTTGGAGGCTAATAAGTGATGAGAGCAGTAATGGATAGTAACATAGAACCCAGTAGAGGCCTTTGTATTAGTTTCCTAGGGCTGCCATAACAAATGACCACAAACTTTATTACTTAACACAACAGAAATTTAACCTCTCACAGCTCTGAAGGCCAGAAGTCTAACATCAAGACATCTGTAGACTATGTTACCTCTGGAGGCTCTGGAGGAGAAGTCTTCCTTCCACTTCCAGGTTCTGGTGGTTTCTAGTGTTCCTTGGCTTGTAGAAGCATAACCTTAATCTCTGCCTCTGTCTTCTTCCCTCTGTCTCTGTGTCTTCTTCTATTTTTATTTTTATTTATTTTTTTGTGTCGGAGTCTCACTCTGCCGCCCAGGCTGGAGTGCAGCGACATGCTCACAGTCATCCTAGCCTCGACCTGCTGGGCTTAGGCGATCCTTCCACCTCAGCCTTCCAAGTAACTGGAACACGTGCTACCATGCCTGGCTTATTTTTTTATTTACTGTAGAGACGGGGTCTCACCAAGTTGCCCAGGCTGGTCTTGAACCCATGAGCTCAGGCAATCCTCTCACCTTAGCCTCCCAAGGTGCTGGGATTACAGGCATGAGCCACAACGTCCAGCCTCTTCTTCTATTTTTATAAGAACACCTAACAGTGCATGTAAGGCCCACCCTAATACAGGATGATTATCTCTTGAAGATTTCCTGTAATTACATCAGTAAATATTTTTATTCCAAAGATGGTCACGTTTAGAACTTCCACCTGTACATATATTTTTAGGTGAAACAATTTAAATCATTTCAGTCTCAAAAGTCCTAAAAATTTGATTGATTTTATGTTCAAGAGAAAGTCATCCTGATACTATGTTTTAAAAGATCATGTAGAGTGTGTAATGGGTTGTAGAGGACAAGCATGGAAGCAAGAAAAGCAATCAGTAATACTGAGCTCTATTGCAGTAAGCCCAGCTAAGAGATAATGGACTAAACCAGAATTGTAGGAGTGGAGAGGCAGAAGAA